GGGGGGGGCCCGCCCCCCCCCCCGCCGCCGGGGCGTGCGTGGGGCTGGGGTGCCAGGGGGCACTCGGCATCCCCACCGGAGGACCTGCCCCATGCCGCCGGTCCCCGGGGGTGCCCGGTGCCGCCAGCGCCGGAGCCCCGCGGCCGAGCCTGCTGTGCCACGAGCAGCCGCGTCGAGGGCGGCAGGGCAGGTGAGCTCTGCTTCGGTGCCGCGGCACCACGGAGGGGTGCATCTGCATGTGCGTGCACACGCGTGTGCATGTGCGCCGTCACAGGCTGGCCCCCGCCCCGATGCCGGGTGGTCCCTGCTGCTCCCGCCACGGTGTCCCAGTGCGTGGGGGTGGGTGGGAGGTGCTGGCCCTGCCAGGGTGGGACCTCCACCGCCGCTGGCGGGGGCCGGGAGGAGCTCAGCCTGCCGAGCCTGAAGGGCCAGGGCTGAAGGGCCAGGGCTGAAGGGCCAGGGCTGGCGTGCGGTTTGGGGCGCGGGTGTCCCTCGGCGGGACCAGGGCACCGTGGGGCGGGTCGGTGTGGCTCAGCCGGTGGGCACCGAGCGCGTCCCGGGGGCCGGGGGGCACCGTGTGGTCCCTGCTCACCCCTGCCCGGCTCTGCCCGGCTCGGCCTCCCTGGGTGCTGGCAGCGCCAGGGGCATGGGGGGCCGGCAGGTTTGGTGCCGTGGGCCCTGCGGGGCAGGTTCGGGTGCCTGGCTGCGGCACGGCCAGGGCTGGGTGTGCACAGCCCGGTGCCAGGCTTGGCCAGGCTCAGATGCCGAGGAAGGTCCTGCCTGGCCACGCCGGGGTCTGCAGAGGAGCCGGCCGGGAAGGGGACGCGTGGGGAAGGGGGCATGCAGGGGTGTCCGGCAGCAGAGCCGCAGCCACGGCCTTGGCAGCCCGTGGGTGACCACAGGCTTATGGTTTGCCAGGAGGGGATGGGCAATACCAGGGCTGAGCTGGGTAAGCTGGGAAGCGTCAACTCAGCCTCAGGGCTCTGCGAAACATGGTGACGCCACCGTGGAGAGATGGTTGGCGGGGAGCCCAT